ATGTAGAGACATGAGACATGGCTACAGTGGTGAATTCTGGGTATGTGAACTTGAAAGAAACTTGGATTACAGAGCACTAGGTAAAGTGCCAGGATTTCAGCAGGGAGGCAACCTCTGTGGAAGGCAACCAGAGAAACAGGCAGGATGGTTCAAGCATAAGGCACTGCAGTGTGGGATCACAGTTGAAGTGCTCGAAGTTATATAATTAACTTGAAAGGGGGATGCAGCTGCATAAACTTCACATCCATACTTGCTCTAGAGAAGGAGCAAGCTCCTGTGGTTGAAGTATAACAAGAAGATCCCTTCTGAGTTTGGCTGCACAAAGCGTGCACATAGAGGTCCAAAAAGCAGCTTTTTTATATATGAGGATGCTCGTAACTCTTTTTCTCATCCAGCTATGCGTACTTCCATACCCTGTGGAAAGATGTAACAAAATTATAATGCCAACAGTCACGAGAGTTTCTTTTCTTTGTGATTGCACACGGAGCCCCAAGTCAGACAGGCCGTGTAAGCCACACCCCCTGGAGACCTGCAATCATAGCTGCGCCTCCTGAGTCAGCCGGCATGGTGCCAGGCTTACCACTGTTCTGCCAGAAATACACTAAATACAGCATACAGGACGAGTGCAGGTACCCCACAGAGAGAGTAAAATGAGGCTTTACCCTAATCTGGGGTAAAGTACCATTTTACTAACAGCAGAAACAGGTACCATCCGGGGATGGTGAAAGGTCCTCTAAAGCATAGAGCAAAAGTGCAGCAGAGAAGCAAGCAGAAGGACAAATTTTAAACACTGTGGAACTTCAGAAAGCGCAGAAGCCCTGTCACAGGTAAGACAATGTTAGTATTGGACCATGACTTCTGAAACGCAACTTCAGACCATCCTCTTGAATTTGGTTACCCCACCCAGAGGTGTCGATATTTCACCGCTCAGTGAGACATGCTGGCAGTGCAAGAACATGTTCAGACACAAAAATGCAAATCAACTCACCTCATTAAATTCTACATAGGGGATATATTCATATGTGCTGTATGACAGTTACTTTTTTCCTTTTTTGTGTTTCTAACTAACCATTTGCAGAGAGCAACACAAATTCTTCCAGCTTTTTAATTGATCTCAGAGCATGTTATGGTTTAATTCTTTGCTCTGAGAAAAAATAGCAGCGCTGTGGCCCACGAAAAGACAGCTGCTGCTTACACAGGAGCTTAATGCATTTGAATACCTTGTGTATTAGAAACTATATAAAATTTTTCAGTATTATTTCTTCAAAATTTACTCATGGAAAGTTATATTTTCACAAATACCTTGTTACTTTTTGGGCATTTTTACCCTTTTATCAGTGAAGGTTTCTGCCCATGAGGGACAATTTTTTTTAAATCATATTTCCTTCATTTTATTTTAGCCAGAAAGTCCTTGTGTCCACACTAACGGTGAAAAAAAAAGTTTCAGGCTTTTTTCCAGGAAAATTCATTTCCTGCAATTTTTTTTAAACAAAAGTAAATATTGTATGAGCCTCTCTCTGCAATCCCATATCATGCAGAGTGGGAGGAGGACATGCCAATATACTTGTTTCAGCAGCTGAAGGAGTTCATGCTGCCCCTGCCCCCACTCCTCATAGACCAGAGTATAAATGAATTCACAAGTTTAAAGGTACTTATCTTTTAAAAAGTATCCACAGGATGATATGCTGAGATTTACAAGGGTTCAAAGTTAAACCATTTTTCTGCAAACTAACCTAGTCCCTTCATAAGTGTATTTGCCTTCAAGAACATGCACTATTTCCATTAGCACATGTAGGGAGACTGACTTCTGTGTTCACGGATTTGGAAGTATAGAAAATTAGCATAAACTATTTTTCAGGTCCATGCTGGATACTTAGAATGAATTATTGTCCTTAGGCTTAGTTAGAAATGTACTGTTTCTATGTATATAGCCATACCAACTCTGTTTCTCTTGAAAAATATATTATGACAGAGATTCCCACATAAACCAAGGGCAGGAAGGTCTCCTAGGGTGCCTTTGAAGGTCTTCCCCACAGAAGTTTTTCTTCAAAAGTTGGCCGAGTTCAGACATTCCAAAGTTGCAGATTATTCTTTTGAAGTTCCCCAGGAAGCTTTGTTGCTGTGTGGCCTCAGGACACTTCTGCTATTTGTTTTCCTTTGACTTGATCAGAAAAAAATAAACCAGGTGGTACCAGGAAACCAAAACAATCTACATAACATCTTCCACAAGAGGGTGCAGTTGCATTTTGTTAAATCCAGAGCCAACCGCAATTAATAAATGGATTGCAGCGACAGCTGCCAGACTGCCTACAGAAATGACTAACAAAACCATTATAGAAAAAAAATCATCAAGAGCGGTGAAAGATGGGAAAATTATGTTGAAACACATTGAATGTATTAATAAACAGCAGTGTCAAGTGATGTTCACTAAAAAACTATCTTTTCAAACCTCATCAGGATCCGTTTGTAATTTGGTTTCTTTGAGCTAGTGAAGAGCCACAAGTGCTCCAATGGGAAGCCTTCAGCTATGAAATGCACTCTCACATTTTGACTTCCCAGACATTCCCAGAAACATCACACAACAAATAGAGTATTTTTGATTTTAACCAGTTAAATCTGCAATGATCCTGGGCCCTTCAATAGCTCACCCCGCATTCCCTGGGGTGTCATGAAGCTCAGAACTGTTAGTGGCCATTTTGCATGTTGGACTAGCAAAGGTTGTTTATATTACTGTACCTTTTATTATGAAAGCACCTAACAGACCTGTCATAAGGTCTAGCATCTCATTGTGAAAACTGTACACACTAAGAACATAAAAAATTTTATATTCCTGCAAGAACCAGGTGAAAGTTCATATAACTTAGCTGACCAAATGATCCATGTGCCAACAGGTATGATGCCAACAGTCACCTTCAAATACCATCAACCTCTGTATTTTGTTTGTTGCTCTGCTCTCCTTGCTCATTGGTCCCATAAGCCTGTGCTGTGCAAAGATCTGCAATCCCCAACTCTTAGCGCCTTCTATCCATAAGGGACACTTCAGCCTGGCACCAGAGATAGGGTTCAAATGTAGGTGAAACTTCAAAGGTGGTGATAGATATTTAGAGTGCTTGATGCTGGCTGGTCTGTTGGTCACTTCTGCTCTTAAACTTAGTGAATCACCTGTTTATTGTACTCAGAAAAGCATGTGATTAACTTGGGTAATAGGAAATAACAGGCTGCGTCTCCTACCCACTCTTGACATGATGAAGCTTGTCCTGATACAGAAGAAGCCAGCACAACATTTGTCACATTTAAAGCACAAGTTGCCTTGAAAATATACACATTGAGACAGTCACCAGTTCTAGAAAGTGAGAGACTCACAGCAACTTTTAGAATGATGTAAAATGCCCTGGCAGGTTATCCTAAATAACGTATCCTAAAAATCCAGTAAGAGTATGGCATCCCATGTCTTTCCCCAAAATACTTCATTGCCTCTGTTAAAAAGAGGTTTGTGTCTGGTTTTTAAAATCAAAATTAGCAGTATGCCTCTAAATATTAAATAATGATGAATTTTGTTATATGTTTCTAAAGCCAAAAGTATTTTTCTAAACATACAAACTTTTGCTTGGGAGAATGAAACTTTTTGTCAAAAAAGCAGTGTTCAGTTTTTTAAAAATGGCCAATCTTAGCAAAACACTTGAGAAATCTCAGATGTGATTTTTTACCTCAAAGGCCCAAGACTTTCAACAGAACTTTTTCACATTTTTAAACAGAGTTTTCAAGTGCGTCTGTGAAACATCATATTTCAAATGTGTTGAAACACACCAAGTTATGCTACATGGATTTCATCAGGTTATGTTTGGTGTGTATGAAATACATTTACCTTCAATAAAATTCTTATTGCTAGATTGGAGCAGTCAAAAGGTTCTCCTCAGAGGACATTTTAAAATGCACTTGGTTTTGGCTTGACTACTTCCCTCTATTGCTGGTCCAGAATTCTGTTCATGGTTTTTAATAGAAAAGTGGTTTCTGTAATATTTTTTCCACAGGAAAAAGTTGGTTGTGCCAAAACAATGTAATGTCCCTTTGGGAAAATAAAAAAAAGAATCCAAAATGTTTTGAACCGTCCAAGCAAATCTAAATGTTTTTCTTCAGGATGGTTTGTTATTACTCATCATGAGTTTGTCACGGTTTAGGTCCATCATTTTCCCCCATCATCTGGGGTTTTTAAATGGATTGCATTTTCCATCAAGAACAATAGTGTCCATTCTAGCTGTTATGATGATGCATTAAAGATGTCCCAAGCCCACATTTTAAAACCAAAATACTTTGGAACTTTCCATGTTTTACTTTTCTTCCCAATTAGAAAAAAAAAAAAGCAAAAATGTGGGACAATTTTGCACATACAGTCTTGATTTTCAATAGGTTCCACTTCGAAGGAAATTCTTGTTTTTTGGAAAATCCCACTTTAACCAAAAGCGAAAGGAAAAATAAGCAGAAGGAAGCAGCATGTAAGCCACACTAGTGTAATCCTTAAAGCATATTATTAACTAGCATTGCCCGTTATGAGAATTATAAATCTATCTTTTTATCATATCATTTACAATTTATTCCATGAGAAATGAAATACCAGACATGCAAAGTTATCTGGTTTCCACAAACTATTTCATGAAATGTATGAAACATAAGAAAATACTGAAATATGATGTTGCTTAAAAAAGAATCCAAGATTTTTACATCCCCTCTAAAGATTTACAGTTGCCTGAAACAGCAGGATCAATTACTTGCATATTCAGAGAGGGGAGAGGGTGGGGGGTGGAGAAAGGACTATTTGCCAGCTGCCTTTCTTAAGATAATTCAAAACTGATATAAATGCATGTTGGTAAAAACTGTCCTTAATAAACAAACAAACAAACAAACAAACAAATAAATAAATAAATAAATTTGTCCTTTTTATAGCTTTCAGTTCTGAATTCATGGAATGTACTTAATTCTCCTGAAACTTTATAGCAGTGGATTTTTTTCCTTTCGAAGAACATGAACAAAAAGGTTCTGATCAGCCACGATGTACCATCACCTGTTTCATCACTTGTGAAGGGGCCTCAGGTTCGGTTCTGTTCTGCTGCTTTTCTCTCCTGAAAGCCAGATGCTGGAGAAGCACAGTGACAAAACATCAGGGCAAATCAGGAGTCTGCAGAACAAAGACAGGAGCAACTCAAAAATAGTTTTCCTCCTCTGTTCATTCCCATGTGGTTTTTAAGCAAGGGGTGAAGGAGGGAAGAGCCACTACTATTTCCCACAGTTGTTGTATGGTGGGAGGTCTGTTCCAGCTCTGTGTTCCTACTTAATTGCAAAGAAATGCTGGCTTAGTCTTTGAAGCCTTGGAGTGGAGCATCTCCAGTCTCCTTGGCTTGTGAGAGAATATAGAGTTTCTGGAAAACTCACCTTAGATCAACTAAGCTCCTACACATGCAGTGAGCCTGTGCAGAGGCTTATTTACTGTCAGGTCAGATGTGAGTGTATTATTAACACCTATTGCAAAAAATGTATCCCTGACATCTATATATGAGACTTATGACATTGGAAACGACTGCATCCAGTCTGGAAGTAGAGGTGCTTCTCTACAACTTAGCTGGCAAAGTTGCCTCCTTCTAACTTGAGAAAGCAGCAGATTTTCACATTGCAAGTGTCAGAGCAGTGAGGCAGGCAATTGCCAAGAACAATCTTTGCCTCGGAAGCAGAATTTGGGTGGTTATAGGTACTGAAAACTCTTACAAACAGTACTAACAAACATTAACCACGGAAAAGGCTACCAGTTCTGCTTTTAATAAACTCAGGCTTCTTCCACATCTTCATGTATTTTTCGGATTTTAAGAACCATTATTTCTATAAGTGCTGCCTCTCGAACAGTTGTTACCTCTGCTGCCTCATTCATGACTCTCATTCACCCCGCCGCAGATTCTCAGGGAAGAATGGAAGAGGCTGCGGCTGCTTGACAGGAACAAAGCGGATAGTGATAAAGAAACCAAAGGGTATTTATCTGGCGTGGGTGGGAACTGAGAAACACGAATGCAGAGCCAAGTAACTGTTAAACTTCAGGAAAACAGAGCCATTTAGCTCTTTCCTCATCTATTAATGCAATTACATTGGATTTTCCTAAATTCTGAAATTTCAGGTTGTTCTGGCTGTAGCTGAGGTAGGATAAGACGCCAATGGTCTCCCTATGTTATTACCTCTTTCCTGATGTCAGTGAGCACAACAGAGTATATGTCATCACCTAGTAAAAGTGCATCAACATATTCTTGGTCTTTAGAAAACTGTTAGGAGACTTAAACTGAGATCATGTTGGCAGAACTGCAAAACTACGGGGGGAGAACTATAGTTGTAGTTATACCAACAGACCTGAGGGGACTGTAATCTACATCTGAAGGAATCATGATAAGAAAATTAAAGACATGAAAAAAACAATGGAAATAGAGGGGATGCTGAGTAAAAAAACTGCACATCTGACAGATGCCCAGTTTTCTGAGATCTCTAAACACTGCACAACATTTATGTCCACCTGCAATGGTGAACACCGCGAGAGCCAATAGCCTCATCCTGATCAAAGCTCCACTCTAAGGATTTGTTTGGCATTTCAGACTAAGGGAAAAATTTTGTCCCTGGAACTATTCCCGAGGTAATAAACTTCATCACATTAATCTCTAAATTAAGAAGGAAAGTTTTCTGGTCGTCAAGGCTGTCACCAACAATTATCCTCAGGGATCCCTCTTAGGGCAGGAATAATAACCTGGCACATAAAATTCAAAAGAACTGTTAAACATTAAAATATAATAAAGAGCACTCACATAGGCCTGAGGAATTTGTTCATCTTTAGTCAGGGTAGTAGCTCAGAGGAAAAGACCATACAGAGTCTCAAACAAGGCTTAACTATTGATGAGAATAAAATTTCTTTTTTTTTTAAATTCTGTTTCACTTGGCTTTGTTTTATGAAATCATGTATAAAAGCACTGCAACAGCATATGTATTCAACAGCAAAAATTCAGGATGCACTGGAAAAGAGGAGATTTCTGATGCAGAATCCCCTAGCAGTGCTCCCTAAGTGCCATATTAACTTGGATTCTGCAGCTAGTAACATAACTAAGCATTACTCCCACTGTCATATCTTAGGTAATCAGCACAAATAAATATAACCAGTACATATATGTGCAAGCCTCCCAAAGCAAGCAGAAATTGCTCCCTTATACTGGCTACCAGATGAGGTCAGAAGTCTCTTAAAGGCTACGAATGACTCAAGCAATGATGTCCAAACCAACGTCAGTTCAGATCAGCTTTACTGCACCTACTTCTTTTGCTACTACCATTTGTCCCTTTCCATTCTGACTAAGAGTATGTGACCTGCTTTGTGAGGAGGAAAGCAACACGTTCCAAATCTCTCAGAGCACAGTGGCCCAAATAAATATATATTTTTTTCTGAGCATGTATGATTTCACAGATTTTTCAAATATGAAATTTAAATGAAAAATAAAAAAATGAACGTGCCTGTGCAAGCTTCCAAATTAAACCATGCAAAACCCAAAGATACAGGATATGTAGTTGCTGCCAAAGCAGGGTTGAATGTTAAGTATTCATCATACATAGCACTGCCCTTGAAACAAAAGCAGTAGTTATTTTAAGTAACCATAAGCAATACTCATGTGCAATTCAAAGGAGATCGGATATAAAGAGATAAAGATTAGAGTACAGCAATACGGCTTTCATTATACAATGTAATCCAGCGTGTCTGATGTAACTGGATGTGACACAAATGTAAATAGCAACAGGTCTGGAAGAAGTACAGGGTTTTCCAAGTTTAGCATGCTTTCAAAAATAACTTTTAGTAAGTTCAACAACAATCTTTGAAACAATGCTTTTAAAAAAGACCCTGCCACATTCTCACTAAAAGTAAAATATGCATAAGTAATTAGTCATGTTATGCAAGATCAAACAGAAATGCTATTTGGGAAAGAACACAATATTTAATCTTGCAAATAGATGGAGGTACCAAACACAAAGATGCCGGCCATTTGGAGATGCAGATGCATTTGAAGGCAAAATGTGTATTCTGTAACAAAAAAAAAAATTTGAAGTTTAACATAAAGCTTAAATAGAATACTTGCTTCAGAATAGGAAACAATGACAGATCCATCATGCGGTGACACAGCACTCCATTTCCTTACTGCACTACTATACTCGTATGTAATTTACACTATATCCAAGGAAGATGTTTCACTTTTAAACATCAATGATTTTATTAATAGCTTTAAGAATATTAAATAGAAATTAACATGACAAAAGCTACCCACTTATTTGACTAACACTTAGAATATTCAGATTCAAAAGAAATATATTTCAGATTAAAGAGAAACACTTATGTTTTGCTAAACTCTCCAACCTCAAAATATTGATGCCAATGCTCAAAAGTAAGCACGCGACTAATTCTAATTCCAAGACAAACTGCTTTTTGTAATATGATCATGCAGTACAATAAGCAATAGGAACTTGGCCCGTGAATTTTAGGAGGTTCTACTATAAAATACCATTTTTTTCCATGGTCTTAAAGAGTGATAGCTAGGGTGAGGCCTTGACTACCAGACTTATTTCTCAAAATGAAGGAATTAATTTAGGTTTATCAAAACTTTTTATTTCTTTTAAAAGAAAAAATTCTTTGCAGGAGACGCTGAACCCCTACAGTATTTTTCTTTTTAATCTAATTGTTGGAAAACAATCCCATCAGGTGTTTTCAAGAATGTTTCAGTGTTTCCTGGTTACTATCACATGTGCCATAGATTAACCTTTGGCATGTACTGTTAAAGATCTTCAGAAAATCAATCTGCCCATCTCCTTCAAAATGTCAGGATACAAGTCCTATATTCCCCAATTACAAATCACTGAACCCACATCAATGCTTGAAATATCTTGGTCTTCCTTCCTCCATCTCTATTCCTCTGTTCCTCCTTCTTTCTTTATGCTCTTACACCTGTATTCTCCCATATAACCCTAAAAATACTTTATTTGGCTTAATATATACTTGATCCTACCATACTTTTTTGGTTTTGTTCAAATTCCACAAGCATACTAAGAATTGTACAAATATAAATGATCACTTTCTTTAGAAAGTAACTCAAATATATGATAAATTTCAAAGATAGCCTATATTTAGGAAGACATCCTTCATGTACTATTTGAACAAATCTTCAACATTAAGTTAATGCCAACTAACAGTGCAACACAGATGAGGACTTAGTGAATGCTGAGCCTGTCTGAAGGGATATTTGGGAAACTACATCCAGCAAATGGCAGCAATGAACCCCTGCCCTGGTAGCTTCTCACACCATATTCCAGCTATGCTAAAGCATGCAAGAGCAGCTCCTCCCTCCTTCCTGGGCAAGGTCAAAAATACTAATTTAAGCCAAAAGAAATAAATGGGAGGGGAAATTCCTAAAAGCAGGCACTGGCCTTGGCTGACTTGCAGCTGAGACTGGTGCCAACTTCAGCTGATGTCTCCTGAGTGAATACCAAGTGGTGTCAGTCCACCTGCACGGCTCATAGCACCCACAGCACTGCAACAGACTTGAGAGCCCACTCAGGAAGAGCAGTGCAGCAGCAGTAAGGGAGCTTTACCCAGGTAACATGTGGCAGATAGGTTGCAGGCTGGCAGGCAAAAGGTAGCAAGTCACCCTGAGTCCTGTCCTGTGCAGGATTAAACGGAGTGAACCACCAGCAGTTTGATGTGTTTAAGTCATCTGTTCAACATTTCCTTATGAAAATGAGGAACACTCAGACTATCAGGGACAAGTGCATGACAATTTAAGAAGCAGCCAATTTTTCCACTGCAATGAAAGAATGTCTAGCCTGCAAGACTCCCGACTCAAACCCTCATCTATTCTTTCACACCCATATGGTGTGAGTCTGAGCTTGCTGTCAATTATGGGACTGGTCAGCTCATCTTCTCCCCAGCTGCTCTGCTATTTTAATCACACTGTGTTTGAAACTAAGCGTGATGGTCTCTCCACTACCAACCAAAGTCAGTCTCTGGTGCAACCCCAGTACTATCTGTGGCAGCTGATAGCACACATACACATAAGCCAATAAGTGGAAGGCACAGTTAACAGCTCAGCCTTTCAGAAACCCCATCTAATCATTACTTTTATTGGTCTTAAGGAGAGAAAGCAACAGAGAGGGGTGATAGACTGAGAATCCCAACAAACCTCTCGGTGCCACACAGGCATAGCCAGGTGCTATGAGAAAGGACTGCTATGTAATCCCATCCATCAACCCCAAACCTGAAACCCAGAAGTCAAATTACAGTGACAGCTGGCAAGGGCCAGTATGTCTCTAACTACAAAGCTTTAGCCCAGTGCTGAAAAAATTTCTTAAATGAATAATTCTGAAACATAATGAAGATGATGACACAATAAGGGCTCATTGTGTTTTTCATATACGCAAGTTTTACCATTGTGCTGTAAAATTAACCACGCGGCAATGCTTGCCTGTGTATACAAAACCCCACATATGATACTGGAAGTCAAACCTTGCTCTCACTCAAGACTCCCATAAGCCCAGTTGGACAAGTGAAGAAGCCGTGGCAGACCCACAGCTCCAACCAGTCTGTAAACATTCCTGCTCAGTTAAGTAATTCATTGCCCAGGTCAATTTCTAAAACTCACTATTGCTTTTTAAATTAAAAATCAATTCATGTAACGTTAGACTCCTGACTGAACAGGAAATTATAAACTCCACCACTCTAACAGGATTACAGGACAACAATTTATGGTACTGAGTCTCCAAATCTAGAACAGTTTTGCCTTTTTGTTAACTGCTTAGTGCATTTATGGCCCTCTAAAAGTAAATACATGTATTGTATTTGCTTTATCTGAAATTTAAAAATACAAATGGCTTTACTCCGCAGCATTGCCTGCAAAATAAATTGGACATCCTGTCTCCCTTTTTTTTCTTTAAACTAAACTATATTAGGTTATCATTAGTGATCAATACAATTACTGTTTTATAATCAGTCTTTAAACCAAACAGTGGCAAGAGATGTAAATGTAAATTTGACTGAGAGCTGAAAACAATAAACGATAATGTTGAATGAGAATTGCCGATATGCCCATATAAACTTCGATAACTTTGATTCTTTAGGTTGTTTTTTAGTTTATTTTCTGTCGCTTCTTCCTGGAGTCTGCAGTTCTAAGGGTAGATGCACATGAACCATCAAAGAAGCCCAACTTCACACAAATCCCATTTTTTACTTCTTTAAATGTGAAACGCTGACTTCTGGAACTGCGGTGAGTGGGAGATCCGTAACATAAAATACCCCGGAGTTATTGCCGCGTAATTTACGGGCTCATTCCCTGCTTGCTCGGTATTAGGGCGACAGGTCTGTTCTCTGTTCTGCGGTGCAGCCCCGGGCACCCTCGAGCCCCGGGCACCGCTCCCCGCCGGCCGCTGCAGCGCCTCGCTCCCCCTGCAGCACCCGCACTGCCCAAGGGACGTTCTGCATCTGTTTGACCCGAAAGAAATTAAATGTACCGAGCCTAAGGCATGTCCCACCCGGAGACGTCTGGGAGAGGAGTTTTAAAAGTTATTTTTGTGCAGCTTTCACGCACCGCGCCGAAAGGGTCCGCTGCCGAAATCTCTCAGGTTCAGCTTCTCTGCCGAGAGGCTCCTCGAGCTGACCCGCCGGGCACGGCGGGAGGAGCAACTACCCCCGGATCTACCCCGACGAGGGTCCCCGAGACCCAGCCCCGGCTCCAGCCCGGGTAGAAAAGGCTGGGAGCGGGCGGCCGCCCTCGGCCGAGCAGGGCAAGCCAGGTCCCGGCGCGTCCCGCACGGCCTGCACGCCTCCACATGGTTTGTTCGGTGCGCAGCGGGCGGAGGAGGCACCGCCGCTGCCGCCAGCCCGGCTCATGGGGGCCGCCCGGACTCCTCCGCGGCTCCGGCTGGGCGTGGAGCCGCTGCCGCCGGCGGGAGGCGCGGCGAGCCCGGCCCGGGGCGCATGGGGGGGAAGCTCGGAAGAGGAAGGGGCCGCGTGCCGCCGGAGAGCAAGCCGTAGGGGCGGGGAGCTCTCCTCCTCCACCAGGCCTGCCTCCCCCGCAGCAAGGGCCTCCGTGTCCCCGCACGCACCGGAGCGACTTCCGCTCCTCCTCCCGCTCTCGTCCCTCCCCTCTTCCCTCTCCCCGTTCCCTCCCGGTCGCCGCGGCTCGGAGAGCGGGGGGGGCCCCGCTTTCCTTCCTCGCTCCCCCTCTTCTCCCACCCGACGCCCCGAGGAGAGGCAGGTGAGGCCCGGCGCGGTCCGCTCCGCCGCCCCGGGGAGCGGCGGCGCGATGGCGGCGGCGGCGATGGAGGCATAAGGCCCCGGCGCCCCCGCTCGGCCCGCGGCGCAGGCCCCGGGGCCGGGGGCCGTCGGCACCGCTTGGACCCTTCTCTCCGCAGAAACTTTCCTCGGCCTAACTTTCTCCCGGGCCGAGCCCCGCGCCCGCGGGGCGCGGGTCGGGGGCGGGGCGAGCTGGGCTGGGCGGGCTGCGGGAGGCCGGTGCGGGCGGTAGTTTGTGGGGGAGGCCCGGAGTCCCCTCCTCCGAGGGTTCCCTCGGCCTCGGGAGCGGTCGCGGCGCTACAGGGCGGCGCTCGTACCGGCGGGGGCCGTTCACTTGCCCGGGCTGGTGCTCGGTGAGCGGTCGGCTCAGCTCCCGGCTCTCGGCCGGAGGATGTAAAAGGGCGAAATTCAGGAAACTGTTTTGCGAGTCGCCTACAGCTTGGCCTGCGTGGATGTCTTTTCTGTTAATTTCTCCCCTCGTCCCTCACTGTTCCCTCTCCCTGCATCGAGCCTGGGACATGACTGCTTTACATTTCTGAGTCATTAATTTAAGTGTTCAATCATCACATTTCAACAAGCCTCCTCGTCTTCCTTACAGTTTAAAAAAAAATGTGTTGGACACACACAGGCCCCGGTTCCTGCGGAGGCTGCGTGTAACTTTCTGCACAGTGTGGACCCGCAGGCTTGACGTGCATAAAGTTGTATGCTCAACCCTCAGGCCCAGGGCTAGCACGTCTTCTTCTCCATTATGCTATATTACAAGTATTATGGGGTGTTTTGTTCCAGGTGTCTGGTGTGCATGTGGGGATGGTCCACTGTGCACTGGGAAAACTAGGACAGAAGTATTTCCGAACCTCATGTTTTTGAGAAGGTGTATTTAGGTGTACCTGCTGGATTTACCTCTAAGCAGAGACTGGTCATTAATTAAAAATTAGGTGTATGGGTTTACTTAAACTGATAGAATGTTCCAAAATCAGTTTAAAAATTGGGACTGTTGACAAGGGAGATGTATTATTTTACTCTTAATAATTCATAGGTAGGTGAATGAAATTCCAGGCAAATTTTACAAGCAAAATTGACCTTTAGTCAGGGAAGCAAGATACAAAAGTTTACTTCAGAGTCTTTTGCTTTTTCCTCTTTGGAAAGTAAGACCTTGAAGAGGGATATCTAATAAAATAGCTTTATCAGCTACACTTGCAGTATTTCTGTTGGTAGGTAGTACAGTTTTGCCATAACTATGTTTCTGCTTCACAGATGTAAGAACTGTTCCTTTCCAAACAACAAAACCTTACTCTTCCTACTCGTGTTTCTGATGCATATCTGTAAGTTTAGTTATAGGAGGTTCCTATTGAGCATAAGCATAGGGTGGAGACTGTGTGTGTTTTGCACAGCTAGGGTGTTGCGGGTAATTTTGGGACAAGGTAGCATCTGTGATGGAAACAGAAGGACAGCAGCACTGGCACTGTGCTGAATTTCAAAGAAAAAGATCCAGGCGTGTGAAAGGGTGACAGTAGTTGGTAGCAGCAATTGCCAGTAATTAATTATTCCACGTGCGTCGTTAGCTTTATTTTCTTAGCAGGTGCAGCTCAAATGTAACTGCAAGATCTGTGTGCCTTCAGTCCCTCTAATAACTTTTCTGGCCTTTACCTGATTTCAGACAAATTTGACAGCAGAGGTCTCCCAGGTGAGCAATTTCTACAGAATTTGTGAAAGTAGGGAAGCCAAGTAGAAGAATGCTCTTAAACTGCACACCAGAGAGTTCATGTCAATACTTACCTGAGGCTGGACACTGATGCAGGAAATGGGGCCTCCCTGGTTTTGCTGATTGCAGAGCTACTGGCACAGTTTTCAATAATAATTTAATATCTGGACCCCAGTACCATAACTTTGGAATGACAGTAGTGAGCCGAAGGTAGCTTTAATCTGTATTTCATATTATAAAGGTAGATTTTCAGGGAAATATTTGTTACCTGACAACAGTTCTTTGGCTACAAAATAAATGAACAAAGTTGAAAATATATTTAAATTGCTGATTATTTGAAATAGCTAGAAAAATAATAAATCTTTGGTGTGCTGCACACTGTGTAACAATTATTGAAAAACTTCACTATTTAGGTTTTTTTATCAATATTCATGCATCATATCAGAGAACTATGCTTCTGCACTAAGGGAATGTTCTTTATTTTGAGCTTTTTATACTTCTGCAGCTTCTGAAGAATGAAATCGTTGCTCTGTTTGGTCTGGTAAATGATGGCTGTCATGTGACCATGATGCAAAAGTCTTCAGTGTGGCACATGTCAGTTTATGTGGTCAAAGTTTACTTTATGAAGAAACTAACTGCATGTTTTTACTTTTCTTATATGTGCTACCTTTGGACAAAAGCTGTGTATTTTCAATAGGTAATTCTTTGTGTTCAAAAGGTTAGTTAAAAGAAACAATGTTCTTTCATCCATATTCCCTCCTTGCATCCAACTCTTTTGCTGCATACTTTGATCACAGTTTGAGTAAGATGCCTTGATGTTAATGTAAAAATTGGTGTCAGTACGAACACAAAGACTACTTTAGGAACGTGTCCTTATTCTGCTGTGTCACATCAAGCAGCCTTTTTCAGATAGGACACCTTCCATGGGTACATACACAGCCTGTGGTTTCTGTGAAGTCCTCGTGAAAGGTTTCAGGCTTCTATTACTGGAATTCCCATGCTTGCTGATGGAACAGATTGATCAGTGAGGGAGAACTGTAGCGTTCTTTAACTACTGTAACAGAATGGGTTAGTTTTTATCCTGGAGGAACCACTCCATATACAAGTAGGTAAAAAAGTCTCATTTTTGTTCTCCTTGAGAGTGCCAGTAGGAGGCTGTTTTATAGTGATGAATTTTATGATGTAGCAACCACTAATTTTTTTTTTTTTTAATACAAACTGCCTTACGGTTGCCATATGGGAACTTCTTGCAATTACTACAGTCCCTGGCTGCATTTACACCAATGACTTAGAACTGTAGGGTTCCAGATTGTATTATCAATTGCCAGGTTGTGAAGGCAAACCTGGAAAACTTTCTGAGTGTAGGCTGAATTTAGTAGGGAAAAAGTCATATTGAAAAGATACTGTCAACTAATTTTAGGTTTTAAGAGGTCGTTCTTACTGCCTTTCGCACTTATGAGGATTTATCCTTGATGGTGCCAGTGCATCAAAACAGAAACTGGCACCAAAGTAAGTCATTGAAATGGGTGAGACTGTACCCTTAGGTAAAGTTAACATGCCCAACTGATTGCAGGATCAGAGATGATAGTAATGTTAATGCTAAAAATTGAGTAAGTAAACTCAATATGAAACTCAATATTACTTATTCATGAGTTTTGTTCCCTTTAGATTTAAACACATATTTTTTTAAAATTTGAAAAGGCAAAGGATAACTGGAAATAGGATGGGAAATAGTCTGTTGCCACTTCGGATGGGCACCATATACAGCACCAGGTTTCATGACGTGTCCTGTAAGTCAGTGGATCAAAGTCATACTCAGCTGAAATGAAGCCCTCGAGCAGAGGATCTCCTGCAAGGACTGCTAGCCCTGGCTTGTATCTGAGCCCCACAGCCCAGTGGGATACTGCTGTAGGGATCATCACTAAGTGCATCTAAGGCTGTGTTGACTGTTGTGGCCAAGACTGGGGTTTTGCTTCGATTTTTCTTGACTGTAGTGTTAGGTAATGTTACAGGGTATGGTTGGAGAGTGCCGAGGAAGTAAAACCTCAGACTGGAATCATTTCTGTATCAGCTTCTTGAGTACTCTTAGTTGTTGCATAGGAAAATAGATAACTTTTTTTGCTAACCTGACTGTATTTTATCTTTGTATTTTTGGAAGGCAAGTGCTTTTATAATAGTCTTATATGAGACAAATATCAGTATTGACTGCACCTTTATCTTAAATGCTTACATAAATTTTGAATTCTAATGGTGCTACTGAACATCAAATAATTTGTCTTTCAAGTTGTTGCTTCAGGGGTATGAAAAACTTTTATGTCTTAAGATGTTTCTGTTAATGTTTCTGTGGCTTTCTTCACACCAGAGGTCTAGAGAAGTCTGGGAAAATGATTCTTTGGAACTGTTGAACCACCTTCTCAGTTCAGGTTTTAGGATCAGCTAAACTGATCCTAATAACAGAATCTGAATAACTTTATTTAGTTCCACTGACAGTGAAGTTGAGTAAACACACCCATGTAAGTAAATCTTGGTAGATCAGGGCCTTTAACTTCGTTTTGGATGAACTTTCAGGAGAATTTTGTGGCATTAATCAGACATTTAAAGTCAGTCTTCATATTGGAAGACTGTGATTTCCTGGGGTAAATTACCTTTGTTTCCACATGCCCAAAGCATTTTGTAATCTTGCAAAACAGAGACAG